CTGAGCTTTCTAATTCATTTTTAATCCTTGAAAATACGCTCCATTTCGAAAATTTACAAAAAGTTGTTCTTAACACAAATGGGTAACGTTAAAGTTATTCTTATGCTTGAAAATACAGTTATAATAGCAGCGATTTGTCAACAGCAGCTTGTTTTGAGATATTTCAGACAGTAGTGGAGCGATTCTGATTGGTGGATTCATGCGACAACCAATCACGGTCGCTCTTGGCCGATTATACTACTCAGACTACAACAAAGTCATTAACGATGTATTAAATACCCCCAACACCTGTGAAAACACGACTCCTATAAACTTGTTCAATTTCAATTGCACACCACTACTAATCTCTTTTTTACTCTGAAATTTTTGTTAGGCTTTATCATACACATAAACATAAACGTAAACAAACACAGCTAACCTGTCGTGTCGGCTTCTTCTCTTCCATATTTCGGTTTTCTTTTGTACTATCTCCACTTTCCGAGCTACCGAATCGTTGTATTCGAATCGGGGTTGTTTTGTCGACGTCGTTGGAAGTATTCTGAGGAGCTCCCAAAACAGTCTTCTTCGGAGGTGGGGTGATGATAGCTTCTGGAGCTGATGATTTTCTCAACTTCAATGAGCTAATCTCCAGCTCACCAGATTTCAGAGGTGATTGGTTAGCGGTAGCTCTGTCGCTGGAGGAAGCAGGAGATGTGTCTTCCTTATTCTTGGGAGCGATCAGCGTCTCGTCTAGGCTAGAAGCAGTGCCTAAAATCTTTTGCCGTCCAGGTGAGGCCGATTTCCTCTTCTTCAACGACGCCTTTTCTGCAGAATCCACCGGCGATGCAGGCCTGGGAGGCTTAGCTGCATTCATGTCGTTCGGAGTCAAATTCTTCTCGTACAACGATTTTCGTTCAACTTCTTTTTCAGGCACCGCTTTTCCAGCAGTGGTAGCTTTCGCAGGCAAAGACTCTTCAGCAGCTCCTAGCTTCTTGACACTATCTTTGACTTTCGACGTAGGTTCAGCTTCCTTAACCTCGGTGGGCTCTTTTGCCGATCGCTTCTCCGGCGTCTTTGACCTCTTCCTAATCGCTGCAGTCGACTTTGTCTCCGNGGCGATTTCTGGTTCTTTTCTGGTGGTGGCAGGGGATTCGGCAGTAACGATGACTTGAGGTAAAGGTGAAGCCTTCCCATCGAGTTGTTTCTTCTCGGGGGTTTTGGACCTGCTTCTGATTGATCCCGCTGGCGGAATGATCGTCGTAGTGTCCGACTCTTTTGCGGAACTCGTAGCAGCCAATGGCTCCTTTGGTGTTTCTGCTGAAGAGGACTTCTTCAGCGTCGTTTTTGGAATGTCTTTGTCTTCCTTGCTCACTTTCTTCTCTGACTTCAATCGTTTCGATAACTTGACTTCACTTGCCTGAAACAGTGAAACTGCAGTATGGTCTAATACTGTAAAGTGGACAACTAAGCTATTAGACTATTAGACTGTGCGGTTTGCTTTCTGACCGCTGAAGGAAGACGGAAGTCAACTCAAGAGGGGAGTAGCAGTTCCTAAGAAAGCCATTCTCATTCCTTCTGACTCTACAGATAGACAGCGAAAAGTTATAAGACCGGAATAAAATATTCCCTTTTATAAAATTTAACCTCAACCTTTTTCACATCATTGTATTACCGGTTAACGAAAGATCTAATAAAAATAAAAAATACGAACTTGAAGAGGAAATCTCTTCGATGACCCCCAAGTGATAGGACTAACGCTTCTTACCGACTTCATAAGGCCAGGAACCGGTGTCACTGCCAATTTTTGGTCAGAAACAGAAGCAGTCAAACTGTCAGATGGTTTCGAGGTCTGCTTCTTCTTTGTACTGGTCGTTTCTTTTCTGTTGTTGCTGGTTCCTTCACTCGCTGATACCTCTTCAACAACATCGATCTTCTCAGCACTCTTGGCCTAAATTAACTGCTTTCAGAACCAAAAAATTGTTAGAGCTAGGGTTCACAAACACTTACTTTTGCTTGAGCCAAGGTGCTCAGGATTTTGCTTGTACCAGCAGTTGATGCTGGTTGTGAGGTCTGGAACAATTGGGTACTCAAAATATTGGCTGAAAAAATGACGGGCCTTTTACCTCTTTGTCATCAGCGACCTTCAGCAGTGGTTCAAAGTATTTCTTAGCATTATCACTCATACGATTCTTCACCATTGACCGTAATCTATTCATTTCCATAAGGAATCGCACGTAGATAATGACGCGCTGAAGAAAGAAGTAATCAAAAATTCAAAGGTATCAGTATTTATACTGTTCGGTCACTCAGTTTAGTAAAAGCTCACAACGTACAGTATCTGTTTCACTGCTAAAGTGCCACGTAGTGCAGCCCAAACCACATTTAGAAGTTTGGGACTAATGTTTCTGATCAAAACGGTCATAAGGACGGGCTATACACCTTGGACTTCTCTTGAACGCTGATTTTGAATCTTTGCTTCGCAAAAAAGTTTATCAAATTAAATTCGGTACAGTAGTTCTTCACCCTTGAATGAGGTTACAATAAAGTAGAAGTGCAGCGTATCTCCGAACGAGATGAAAGCCGTACTTCTGTTGAGATGGGATACAGAAAACACATACGAGACATTGTCAAGACTATGCCTAGAATACAGCTCATGGCCATAGCTACGACCTCCTCAGAAGCTCAGTTCCAATTGAAAATGTTCTCTGACCTTTCTACCTAAAATGAAACTCTGGACCCTAACGAGATGTCAAGCGATGCAAAAGCTGTAGAGGTCGTAGCATTCGCGCCAGGACCCACACCGAGCATGCAGGGAGCGTATTGCAGTCAGCTACATGTAATGGCGCGCGCGTTCGAACAGCTGTTCCTTCGCCGATTTTAATAATTCCCTGCCTTAGGGCAGAAAATTAAATCGAGGCTGCATCGTTAATCACACTTTATGAGGCTCATCAACAGACCTGTAACTAATATTACGCACGCACGGTCAACTGGTACAAAAATTACCAGAAGCTCACGTGACGATGTGTTCAACCAAACTTCAGCAGTGAAACAGATACTATACAATTGGGTAACTTTCAATGATCCAAACTGTGGCAAATTCCTACAGCAGTCGTCGGTGGTTTTGAAAAACGGTCCTTCATTAACCGCATTTTACTTCAGGTTGTTATTTTATTGGGCACACTACAGGTACCGAGAACAATAAGCCCTTCTGCAGAGTGCCATTATGGCCCTCAGCTCTCTACCAAGTTCTGATCGGCCAGCCACTATTGGCCAATCAGCACTCTGCAGTGTTATCTACACTTTCTTTAACCACATCAAGTTCTCGTCCTTTTAAAGGCGGGGCCTCATTTCGTCGCATTGCCTAAACCGAACGATGAGCTCAAAATAAATTCAAAATGGGGTTAAAAATATTGTCAGTACCCGAAGTGTTTGGTCCACTACCAGTGGCATTCACTCAGAGTGAACATAGTAAGATGTGTTGATGGTACAAACTAAGTTCGCAGAAAGTTACTTATATTAACTTATATAAGTTACTCATATTAATACAGTTTCGTCATTGTTAGAAAATCGCCCAAAAAGAGTTTTTCAATACTCTGCGGTATGCCAGAACCGTTTCGAAAAACAACCGTTGCAAAACTAATAAAGTTAAGTCTGAAATAATAAACAAACACACTGAAAAGAGATAGAATTCATATGCAACACATTTCTTAAGAAAAGAAGCACAACTGATCCATACTACAACAAAAAGAAATAAGAAATTACTATCAATTCATATGAAGTTAAATTTTAACTATGATTACCACTAAAGGTGTTATGCATGCTTCAATTCATGCCTTTTTAATGAACGGAGCTCTAATAGCATTGCCCTTTCAGGTGTTTACTACAATTTTTCTAATAACATTACTAATGAGTTTGAATGTTGTATAAAAGGGCAGTACAACGAGAACTCCGTCACATACTTACAAGTACTCAGATAGCAGAGTTTACAGAACACAACCTCATTTCACTCACCATGTAGAAATAGAATAGCTGCAGAAAAATCGTTTTGAATCTGATTAGAAATTCCAAAAACAAATCAACTACAAAGTAAACTTTCTGAGTTAATTGGCAGATGCGTTGAATTACGCCAAATGGTCTGTTACAGTAGTTACCGTTACAGCAGTTACTGTCCAATGTTGATAAGTACAGGCTATACGATCGAATGCCTGGTAGGTGTTATGAGTAAGTCTGAGCAAGGCCAGGGTTCGGGACACGGGCAGTAGGAACGGTTTTGTGTAATCGATTTGCCGCACGCGGCTGTCGCGGACCATTTGCCCCGTTACAATAGTCCTAGTGTTCTTCATACAGCTCAATCTCCATGCGATAATTAATTATGACATGATTCTACTGTTAGTTCTTTTGTTCCTGAATTTCGTACTTGCCGCTGCATTCTGCTACATTCCTTCGCGCGCGACGTCTCTCTCGCCGCGACGCGTCAATTTCGTTCTTACTGCACCACACCCGCAGGGATCGATTCATGTATAATCTCATACTGTACTGGTTATATTCGGCAAGGTTATATTGGACTTGCTGTCTTTCTAATCTGTTTTTGCGAATAATAATATTTTCATCTTGTTATTTGCAAAACAGATTGAAAATTAGCACATTTTCCCTTTGAAATCTGGCTAATGACCTGTGACTACTCATGACTGAATGGAGAGGGGGAACGTCCGTTCCGCGCTCCGGCGAAACTAGGTCACCTCACCCACTTCGCGCGCGGCGCAGCCCACTGCGATCTCGAGACGACATTACAAAACCGCTATGCGCCAGTGGAGCGAATGATTTGCACTGGTCCGCGTTATCTTCAATTTGAGTAGACTGCCGTGGACCGAGCGCAACTCGTATGGCGCCCACTGACAACTGCGACGTCTGTCAAAAATCGCGGGTTGACACGCCGCGTGCGACGACTGCGGTGTGACCTAGTTTCGATGGACGCACGGAACGAAGCGCACCCGTCATTCAAGTCTCAGCCGTTGTTAGTTCTATTTATTTGGTGGTACCCATAAAGGCCCATCCCCTTCTTTGGTATATTCATGCCAAGTACTGCCTGAAATGGTACGCGGGCGTCCTAGAGGCTTCCAATCCTGTACTCCACCAAGGCAATAATCTGTCAGCTTAGAAAAAACGAAAAAATTAACATAATATTTCAATTTTAGAAATAAACTTACCCTGAGTTTTCGCTGTGCATTATACCGCATTATTTGCTTATTATCCATCACAGGTCCCTCAGCTGGTTTTTCGAGAATCGCATCACAACTGACTTTTGCTCGATGTCTGGCAATCCACGGATGAGCTAAGCATTCCTTTGGCAGCATTCGTTTTCTAAAAGGAAAATTATTCGATCAAAAAAGAAAGACCTGTTTTGAATAAGAAATTACTAGCAAGTAGGACTTATTGAGCAGGAGTAGCTGCTATGAATACTTGGGAACCTACTCTTTTTTATAGACGATCAGCCGTGAGATAAAATCCTTTGCTTCAGGGCTAACCAAATCAAACTCTTCCGTAAAATCCCAAACACCTTTTTCCACATTGCAATACGTTTCACATATGTTTTCTCCCAGAAACGGAGAATACCCGGATAACCTGAAAAATGGATCTTTGAGTGGTTCAACCTGAATGTTGAAGATGCTATATGGGAAAGTTGACGAGATTGTTCATTCATCAGGCATTTTAAATTGCAACTCATCTTGCCCCCTTAAAAGGTCACTGAATCATGCCGCCCATGGGGCACAACACCTTTGCCATTACTTCATTTATGTCTCTTCTCTATGTGATAGAAGCAACAGATTCCTCTTATAAGACGGGGTGGGAACACGAGACTGCTCTTGTGAGTTGAAATGGAAGCCATAACAGAGGAAAGCACAGAGTTGTCAGGCGTCTGTGATTATCTACAGGACCATACCCATTGCGGTAATTTTTGAGAATTCTGGAACTCACAAAATATAAGTGATAACTCCAACACTCCACATATCTGTATGGTAGTCAAGCTGTTCGTACTTGATGACCTCAGGGGCTGCAAATTCCGGAGTACCCGCCATATAACGAAGTTCCTGAAAAAACATTGCTTTTGTTTTACTGCCAATTCCCACCTGATTCGGAGGCTCTGATTCTCAAAGGATTCACCCTAAGAAACACGAAAGGGAAAGTGCTTAAAAGTAAAATCAGGGGTGTCAACCATTGACGCTTGTTTCAAGTCAAGATCGAAAAAGTAGGATAAAGCTAGAGGAAGTTACACCCTTCCTCATGTGTCAGCTCCCAGTTATCATTCGACCAAGCGAGAAGGGATAGGCTCAGTTGGCCTGAGCTTAAATTAATTCAGGGTTCCACGTGAGGCTTGTTGATGCGGTAGGAACTGGCACCCTCTGTTTAGCAGGTAAACAATGCTTGTTTAGGGATGCAAGAGCAGGCCTTCTGAACCAGCCACCACGTCTACATTTTATCCGAGACCCCTACATCATAAAATGTAAATGTAGAAAAAATCAAGGTCATATGCCAATGTAAGGCTTACCTGAGTTCCATCATAGTACCGAGCTAGACCAAAATCTATTAATTTGATCCGGTTTCCCGTCTGTGAGACACACATGATATTCTCAGGCTGAAATGAAGTCTTTACTTCCGAGAAGAGTATTCAAACTCGCTTTTCCACCACTGAATGGAACAGGAATGATAGGTGGAAAGGAAACAGGTTATCATGACTATGAAGCCGAGAAAAACTCATACCTTAATATCTAAATGTAAAATATTCATTTCATGAATGTAGTCAATAGCTTCACATAGCTGACATATGATCATCACTACTGCCATCTCCGTTAAAACGTAGCTTTCATCTGCTACTCGATCAAAAAGTTCTCCTCCTCGTACACTGAAACTTTCATTATATCAATAAACTATTACAGCAGTAACATCTGGCTAATATATCATTATGTGAAGAAGAGGCCCAGAATAACTTCCCCTGACGCTCCACACTTATTGGACTTATTGTAGCCACTTTGTTGAGTGTTTTTGTAAACAGTATAGTTAAGGGTGGAGGTATCCTAGAGCCAAGTGGCGCACTATCATACTGGTAAGGAACGAAGCCAAATCCTGGCTCTGTACTCGTCCATGCAATCAAGACCTTCCATTCCTGTAAGGACAGTTAACTGACGTCAGATTCATCTGGTAAGATGAAAGCGCTAACTGTGTAGATTGACCTAGTAGCATTGACCAAGAACGACTTTCAATGAATCTTGGCATCGTGTGAGTCTCGGTATGTAGGTGTGATATAGCCTCGGCCAAGATGGTACAGCTCTTTATTCAGTCAACGGACCTTGTACAGACTAAATATGTACACATTCAAAACTCCATTACTTTTGAATTTCTGAAAGGCAGTCGACTGTGTGAGCGCATCCCAGAAATGGGACTGTGAACACCTAGAAACTTCAGTGTCGCTTACCCTTTTACCGAGTTCTTCAAACACGAGCCTACTACCGGCTATTTCTGGTTAGCCTCACCTTTGTTGTCCCATTACAATCAGAGAATACTATGAGATTAGATACTAGCACGATGAATGTATGAAAATCAAGCAAAGAAGGGTTAGCTAACTTTCCGAGTACCATTGGTGAAATTGCTTCTCAGCCTCTAAACAAGCTCTCAAAGACACCTGAATTATGATCGGCGACTAAGCTGAAGCTAACTCCACACACACAAAGTTGTGTAATTATTACAAGCCTATAATAATACTGGGTTTCATCCGACATTAACCTCTGGTCCCAAAGTTGTTTGTCAGTGATATAACCGTATTTCAAATTCCCTTACCCTATTCGAATAGGCCATTCCAATCGACAACTTTGAAGATTCAATCCATCTCTTTTATCATTGCTTATCACTGACCTGGACCCACTAATATCTCAGGCTTGACAACGGTTGCAATTGTGATAGCTGACAAAGGACGTTCCTTTTAAATCTTTAGCACGGATGCAGTCAAGACACAACCACATATTCACAGGAGGAACCCCTTCCATTATCATGTATGCACGAGCTCCCACAGCTCAGCTATTCATCGAATTCGGCTGACTTCACCTCTGTTTGTTACATTACAATGACTGTTGGCTAACGTTGAATCATATTGAATTCGCCGAATAAAAGTCGAGTCAAATGTTGCAAAGATAACACGAAGGCAGGAGAATCACGTCAAAAACACGTCATGTGGCCTTTGTGGCATAAAGATTTTCCTCCATTCAATCATGAACACTAACCAATATCATACTGTAACGGATGTGTAGAAGATTATAATCACTTGATATGGGATATCATCATAGGTACCGTCAAGTTATCAGAGAAGTATGTGATAAAGAAATCGGAGTATTCTCGCGAACGAGTTAGATTTCAACCTTAATTCTATCGTTCGCGTGGGTGTGGAAACCATTGCTCCCCAGGCTTAAATATCCCAGCACTCCATATTATAGGTCTACAGGTGGGTGAATAGGATACAGGTATACCTCAAGAAGGAAATGTCCATATCAGAGGGTGTATATTAAAAGCTTTGACAGTTGATGTACTCTTGCAATCCCTTTAAAATGTGAAAGGGAAGGAGCTAGCAGACCAACACAGGAAGCTCTGCTTAACTGACTGCGTTTACGAAGTAGTACTAGCTACCATAGAGTAGATTTCCTTCTTAAAGCCCCGTCTTTAGATCCTAATAACCACGAGAACTTTGGAGAATTTAACAAAACGCACAGCTGTAAGACTTTGTTTACACTGGTTACTGATGAAAGTCAAGTAAGTAACTTACATTTCCATTATCAGTACAACTTCATTGTTTGGAGTGTAGAATGCGTCATAAATCTGTGCAATACGTGGATGCCGAAGCTGAGTGAGAATGGACACTTCACGTTCAACTTCTTGCCGATCTGCTTGCTAAATATGAAAACAAAACTAAATATTACATATGTAATAGTGGGAGGAAATGAAAAAAACCAAAAATAGTTTGATAATATTAACTTTGATAATATTAACAGTCATAATGATATGTGATAAAAAAGCTTTGTAGTCAAAAATATGGAGATCAGTGAGGTACTCTAAAAAACACTGAAACGAGACCTGTTTAATTCGTATGACTTTAGCTGCGAACTCGTTTCCACTGGCCTTTTCTCGTACGGCGTATACTCGGCCGAACTTGCCACTGAAAGACTGAGGATTTTTATTTGCAATAAAAAATCAAATAAATCAAATAAATAAATCAAATAAACGATAGCTCATCGAAGTTCTTCTTTGGCTGAATGACCATGGTAGAAAAATGATTGTTAACACAAAAACAAGGACAACTGCAGGATTCCTGTGTGGATCTTGTGAAGAATCATACGAAATCAGGAGAGATTTGAAATAAACTAAGAAAAAATTCCGACGGCTGACAGAAACCTATTGCTTACTCCCTAGTGATTACTGATTAGTAATTCAAACATGAAAAGGAGCTTTCTCAAAAGGAATCGNGCTACAGTATCCACAATCCGTTCAAGGTTACATGCTAGGCTACAGTATGGAAGCGTGCAATCAAGTTAAAATGCTTGTTTTAAAAAAGTAGATCATTCAAAAGATAACCGAAGTATATTGATTTACTTACTCTCCAATCAGCTCACTACTCTCATAGCATTGTTCGAATTTCACATTTGAACGGATGCTTTCGATCTTCTTTATATGATATAAAGGCGGCTCATCGATTTCTGAAACAGAAGAAGCTTATTTTGATAATTTCACTTTAGATAAGCCCGGCACATAGGAACTCAATGCACCCTTGTTTACAAATAGATTTTTTGAACATAAAAAGTAATTCCAGGTGATAACGAGGTGGGAATCTACATTTCGTGGAGGAGCTTGCGATAAGACCTCTGTCGAATTAAGTAGTTTACTGGTTAAAAGGCATTGGAATTGATAACACTTGACGGAACAAGGAGAAGGAGCAAGTCATAAATGTCATGAAGCATTTACAATGTAAAAGACCAAGCAACTAGGGTGGGCCGTTCCATGGGTAATTAATTCTGGGTACGATTCCTAATATTTTTATGACTAATTTTCAAAATACACCTCGGCATACTAGTAGAGTAATTTGAATAATTTTAAATTATTTCGTTGAACCCCATCTATAATCTCGTAGAACATTCTTCCTTCTGAGCACCAGACCACCCATGAATTTTGGTGATCAGCGTTTTCAATGCTTAACCTTAGCCATCGATCCAGGTAGGACTACCTCATCACTCACTTAACCTTACAAATTGAGAAATCTGGTTGAACTTATACCACTCGAATGTGTACTTTTACAGTTCATGGTAAGACAGATTCAAAACGAAAGGCTTGGGGTAACCCTTGAATTGCCCTTAGCACCTGCAAGACCTTTCAGACACAACTAAAGCATATGTCTGCTTTTTTCACATGAAAAAACGCTGAAGCTATTTTTTCTAGATGCTAAGAAGGTTTTAAAGTAGAGATATGGCGGCCTAAAAATAGATCAGTATGTAGGTGATACAAAATTCATCCTTACAAACGGCTTCAACAATAGAAATTATTATGAAATATCAATTACAAAACTGACATTATATTTACAGTTTTTCCCTTACTTGCAAAATATTTCTCTCTCTTTGACAGGGGAGTCCCTTTGAAACTGCTTACATAGGAAACAAACTACATGCTCTCAGCCATTTTCAGAATTCTATCCAATAGAATTCAATTGACTTTACGGATTCAGGGAGTCCGATTCTCTCTGAGCTACAAATACAGTAAACTGCGGCATACTGTATCGTATTCATAGGTCTTCATTCACGAAGAATGTCGTCCAAGGAGGGGTGGTAACTACTAGTATGAAATTTTCTGTAATCTCAAGTAAGAATGACAAATATTATATATTTTTCATTTATATGAACGGAGTGTAGGCTGGACAAATTCCGGACTTTTGAAGAAGAACGGAGTGTGGGCTGGATAAATTCCGGACTTGTGAAGAAACAGGAAAGTTAAATGGCCTCGTAGGAACTAAAGAAAAATCTTGTCAATTAAAGTAAAGGACTCACCTGAAGGGTAATGTTCATCGACTTTGATTTTACCCTCGGTGCCCATATGAACCTGTAATGAGAACCTGCGTTGACGCTTCATCGTAAGAACGTGAATGAAGCGCTATCGATAGCTCATTCCTCCACAGACAAATACTTGACGAATTCCATAAGAAGCATGCATGACAATCAGCTGATTTGCTACTTAGTTGAATAACAAGTTATCAATGAACAAAACAGTGCTTTTCATGAGGTGGCGGTACTAATAAGACAGAAAATACTGCAAAGAAGTGTTTAGAGCATCGCATTTTGGCGAATGGGAGGAATGAAAAGCAAAACGATGAGTTTTATTACGATAAGAAACAGGACTGATGACAAACTGTTAAGGGATTGGTAGGTGATTCACGGTCATGAGGCATTCAATGCCAATAGGCGAAGTGTACTGCCGAATTTCGCTACTTCTGCTTTGTGATACCCAATTTTTGAAGGTTAACTTTGCCTCGGAATAAGTAATACTGTACGAGGGCAAAGTAATAACCTGAGAGTAAGTGCAAAATGCGAGGTTGAAAGTGGTCGCATGACAACAATTCAATATAAAACTTATTTTTCTAGGTATGCATTCCTGATGGGTGAAGGTGGTGTAGGGGCAAAAGCGGTACCATCACAAACGCATGGTCACGGGTTCCGGCTCGGTTCTGGCCTAGGGTAACCAGGACCTTCATCCCGCTGGGGATCGGTTAAATGGTACAAAACACGTCAGAGAGGATAAAAACACTGACTCGTACATCGGCTGGCCACCGTATCTCATTGTGTAGACCACACACGAACTCAAACTGCCACTACGATTCTAAATGGAAGTCGAATGCGGGGCGCACCCAAACGGGATGAATTAGTGCGAAATACCTCATCCAATCCCCAAGTACCACACGAACAGTTCAGAGATTGAACCCAAATCGGTGCCCGATCAGGGCAATCGAGCCTTCATCCCCGCAGTCGTTTGATGGGCACCCGGTCATTCGCCAGGATAGAAATATGGTATGTTCATTAATTGGTCCCCTATTGAATCGTGATGATCAATACCAGACAGCATTATCTTCTGCTATTACTAATGACATTGTTATATTATTAGGGTTATTGTTATTATTATATTAGGTGACATCATATTCGATATTCCTTCCAGTAATGTAATTTCCCTAATGCAAACATGAAAGACACGAGTTCATTGACCATTTCGCAGAATTCTGAAGAACAAAACTAATCAGATGAATTACTTCCAGAAGACTTAACTAGTAAGGAAGGCTATGCAGTGAAACAATCAGAATGGATACCAGAATGCACGACTGAAGCGATGAAAGCATAGAATAGCGGAATGACTAAATCAGTCCTCCAAAATGTATAAATGACGTCAGGAGGAATGAATGCATGACGAGTCAATGATAAATGAAAACATAATCAGCAAAATGGCATTCTTTAGTTGTTTCGATCGAAGTTTTCAAAGAAAAAGCTTTCACTTCCCATTTCTTTCTATAAAAAAGACATTCATGATGATTAACTTCCTTTTACAGGTTACCTGGTCACATTTCAAGCCTTACCCTGAACATTACCAGTGCATACAGATTGCGATGAGGGCAATCTCTATTTCTACCTTACCAGTACAATTTAGAAGGAGTCAACAAACCTCGAAACAAACCGAGAAGCATAATTTTTGAACTGAACACCTTAGTTCTACCTTTCACTCACAACACTCGAGTTGGCATAGGTTACTTCTAGGTTAACTTGCCTACTTAAGACTGTTACATTCACTTTATAGCGTGAGCAGATTTGATGCTTTATTCTACAGAATTACAATACATCATTGTATTGTGTGTTTCCCACTAGACAACACCGAGTAACACCCCCGTGACTACCAGCCTTCTTTAGAAAAAAAAATTAGAAATCGGGAGCTGGGTAGGGGAAGCCGCTCGGTAAATACCAGTTTTGTTTTGCCACGGAAACGGCGGTGACTTAAAGGTTCAAAGAATAGAGAATTCCTCGGAACCTTGGTGAGAACTTCGGACTAGAACTACTTACATGAAATTTCAGATAACGCATGGGAATGAGTACTACAATAAAGTAACTATGAGTAAAAATGTAAGCAATACTAAGGGAATGTAGCCCTGACTACGTTTAGATGCACGAAATTACTACCAAAGTCACAATATATAAGGAGTACTGCTATGAGAAATACGTTTTTTGTTTTTCCTTACTTATAAAGTGCAGTAACCTACTTATAGATTACTGCTTAACAAAAAAAGTATTACCTAAACAAATCCGCCAGTTTGCTATTGTGTAAACCTGGCGCTTACTCAGCCTTCCACATTTGGTTTGCCGGGTACGTTTCAACCTCAGACTCACCAACTCCAGGAATATCTGAGTGAATGTGGTGGGTAAGGAAGGGGGGACGGAGGGCTCA